AGAGAAAGGGAGTGTAGAGGGGGAGGGAGAGATTCCCTGGGAGGAGCTGACAGGCCGTGCAGGCGAACATCCGACCGCTTGTTACTCTGATGCGGGAAGGGCGCGCAGCTCTCGTTACCTCCATCTCCTGCTTCAAGTTCATGGCCCTTTACTCCTCCATTCAGTTCATCACCGTCCTCCGACTCTACTTGGTACTCCCCTCTTCGCTCCTTCTTGCCTCTCCTCCATCCTCCTCTCTCCTCCCCCCCTGCCTCTTCTCCTCTCTTCCCTCCAGTTTTTGACCTTCCGTCATCTGCTGTATTCTTCTTCCCCTCCTCTGATCACTTTCGCCCCACCTCTTCCCTCCTCTCCCTCCTATTTTCCTCTCTTCCTCTCTAAGCTCCACTCCTGCTGCCTTCAGCTGACTTGCTCCCCTTTAGCTCAACACCAACATGAGCGACTTCCAGTACCTCTGGATCGATCTCTTCCTCATCTTTCCCCTCGCCGTCTACATGGGCAGGACAGGAGCGTATCATCGTCTCTCCCGCAGGAGGCCGCAGGGAAGGCTCATCTCTTTCTCCGTCCTCTCCTCTGTGCTCGGCCAGACTTTCATTGCTGGATGTTACCAGGTAAACTCTGTTCCTCCTCCTCGTCCCCTCTTGCTCCCGCTCCTGCTCCCGCTCCCTCTCGTGCTCCCGCTCCCGCTCTCTCCCCTGCTCCGCTTCTGCCCCTGCTCTCCTCCTTTGTTCCTCCTGCTCTTTCTTGTCCTTGTCGTTTCTTTCTTCGGCTCCACCTCCCTCAACCTCTACTGCTCTTGATGCACAACCTTTTGCGTTCTCTTCAATCCTCTCCGCCAACTCTCCTTTCTTCTCACCAACTTCTTCGTCAGTGTTTTGCTGCCTGGTGGACTTTACAAATGAAGAAGTTCAAGTGCGACAACTCGTGTCCTGGAGCTGTGAGACCCTGCTTCCGTCCCTTCTTTCTTACCCTCTGCACCTTGCCTCGTCTCTACCTCTCTCTTTCCTGCTGTTCCTCCTCCTCTCCACCTCCTCTACAGTCCTCTCCTCTCCCTCCTCTCCCTCCTTTCCCTGCTTACTCTCTCCCTGCAGTCTCAAGTGTGTGACCCATCCGACGACGAGATGCCTTCCTGCTGCCTCTTCCTCCCCCTCGGTTGCCCCACCCGGCCTATCAGCAGCGACACGGACGACAACATTCTCAGCGTGGAAGCGACTTCTGCCTTCCTCTTCTCGCAGTTCCAGTACCTTGCTGTGGTAAGTGACGTCCCTCTCCTCTCCTCTCCTCTCCTCTCCTCTCCTCTCCTCTCCTCTCTACTCCTCTCTCCTCTCTACTCCTCTCTCCTCTCTGCTCCTCTCCTCTCCTCATCCCCTCACTCTCCTCATCCCTTCCTCCTCTCTCCTCTTCTCCTCTTCTCCTCCTTCTTGTTCTCCTCTCCTCTCCCCTCTCTTCTCCTCTTCCTCCCTCATCCTATGTCTGTTTCCTTCACCTCATCCACCTCCACTTCTTTCTGACTTAACGCAGGTGATCGCCTTCAACACCAGCAAACCCTACAGGAAGAGCATGGTGACCAACGTCTGGTTCTTCGTCTCTTTTCTCCTTCTCGCCGTTCTCTGCTCCCTCCTCCTCCTCCTCCCGGACAAGCTTTTGCAGGTAAATCATTCTCTCCGTCCTGACCTCCTCTCTCCTCCTCTCTTGGTATTCCTTCTCTCCTCCCCTCCTTGCCCCCCCTCTCCCTTCGTTTTCCTCCTTCCTGCGCCTTGTCCTCTAGTCTCTCCCACGTTTGTGACTTCATTGCATTGCCTCCTCCACTGCCTCCTCCGCATTCCCCTCGTTGCACTTCAGGTCTTGAACGAGGAGATCGGAACCCTCGAGCTTCAGCCGTTCCCTGCTAAGAGCTTCAAGGTGACCTGCCCCCATCCTCTATCCTCCTCTTCTTGCCTCCACGTCCTTCCCTCGTCGTTCTTTGACCTCTTCCCTGTCCTCGTCCTGTGTTTCAGTCTCTCCTCCTCTTCCCCCTCTTACATTTATTTCCAACAGTGGAAGATGTTTGCTCTTGCTGTTCTCAACGCGGCCATCACCTACATCTTCGAGATTGTAGTCGAGCTGGTACTCCTCCCTCTACCTGCTGCTGCTGCTGCTGCTGCTGCTGCTGCTGCTGCTGCTGCTGCTGCTGCTGCTGCTGCTGC